TACATACGAAGTGAAAACGATTTGTATTTCGCAAATCAAAGTGATTGTTAAAGCAACCAAACTGTGTCAGAAATGTTCCCAAATTACTGGGTAAGGCTTTTATCAGCTCATCATCTGATCCAATAATTTTAATTGTGGCATTTCATTCGGCATGTCGCCGCACGACTTCTATGATACTCAAAGTCTCACATATATAATTTGAAAGGGGGGGTCTGGGGGGGCGGCGCCCCCTCAGCAGGTAGCTTTTGCTACTTGTTTTAACTTGGTTTGAGTTATACTTGGAAGTCTAATTGGGATTTACCTCTAAATACGGAGGTTGTAAGAACCCTGGTGGTTTTGTTTCTGCAAAATTCGAGTATTCTGTGCTCCATCAGATTTTTATTTTCAGGAGTTATTTTTAGAGGGTCTTCGTGTAGGACACGAACTTCAAGTTTTTTGTGTCTCTGAAATTGCCAACTCAGAAATACAAGGGTCATTCAGCAAGTATGTTTTCCTATTTTTTTCTTAAGTATTTATTCATTTAAATAATGTGACAAGCATATTTTCTAAAAGACGGTGCTTTAAGCTTTCTAACAGTATGTAATGACTTCGGGTTTTCCAACTAACTGACTGTCAAAAAATTGCATTTTTCTAATGAAAATCCGGTAAAATCCAATTTCTGAGCAACTGGTTGATTGAAAATCAAAAATTATCCACCATAAGAAAGTTGAGAGTTCAATCTGTTTAGCAGTGCATTTTGAAGTTTTTAACTGAAACAGTTCATCAAAAAAAGATAAGAAAATTTACTTTCTGAGCGACCCTTGTATGTAAGATAATGCATCCTCAGCTCCAGCTCCGGACAAGACCATACTAATGATCAATTTAGCGATAATCATATTTCAAGCCCATTGTCATTCACACAAAGGTTATAACAAGTTATAAAGGTTTTCTATGTGTTTGATTGTGAGTCCAAAGGATAATTAAAACGGAGTAGATCTTTACCAATCCAGATTTTTTCAGGGCGCCTGAGTTTGCTGCCGGCTTTAAGCGCATAACTAGGATTGCAGTAAATGAAATGTTATCCTGGATGGATATCACTAATTTATGATAGGTTTTCTTTTCAATTTTAAATTTATTCAGCCCAAGGTCTCAGCCAATCATAAGTGTAGAGTTACTAGGTTTTCTTTTCAATTTTAAATTTATTCAGCCCAAGGTCTCAGCCAATCATAAGTGTAGAGTTACTGGCTTGTGTCTAAAAACTGTGCAGTAAAAGCAGTATGAATTACGTTACAAGTCTAAGGTTAATTAGTAGGTGCACAGCCCAGACCAATATTTCTCTTTAGAGAGAACCTGAACCTTATTCTTCAGTGTTTACGCAGGTATATTTCTAATATTGTATGAAATAAAATTTTAGGAAAGAGGATGGTGTCCTTCGGACAATGAATTCTGAGAAGCTGTTGAAAACTCTTCCTGCATTACAAGCGCAGATAGATGCGCTCCTTGAATTTGACTGTTCAGCACAGGACCTCAGCAACGGTGTTATCAATATGGCTTTCATGCTACTCTTTAGAGATCTTATCAGATTATTTGCAGGATATAATGACAGTATCATCAATTTGTTAGGTAAGACAGCATTTATTTCATATATTGACAGACAAGCGTTTTTTGTCCTCGGAAATGGATCACTAAACCCTCAGTGAATTTTTCAACTTGCAAGTATACTTTTCTTAGAGTAAATTATGCGTAAAGAACGATGCTCGCAGGAAAATACAAGAAAGTAACTCTGAAACCGACTAAGATACAATTCAAAATATGTATCTTTTCTGCAAATTTAAAACACTCCGGTTTTGCGCAGAACCAAATGATGTCATCCGGCACCAATCAGAAGCGAGCCTGAGCCTCTGCGACATTTGTTGAATGTCTTTCTACTCCTCGTTTATGATAACCATAGGAAAGTCGAAGCTATATCCTCAGAATCAAAAGAATCGAATCTCATTTATGTTATTTGTAGTAAACCAACAACAATTCCACATTAAAATACGTTTCATTTTTTCATGTTCAACGCAAGGTTTAGTGATCCTTTCTCATTTCCTATTGAATTCAAATCTCCTTCCGTATTTTTAGGAATAAAGAAACATTGAAAAACTTAGCAAAAAATTGAAAAAGAAAAAAGGGAAAGCTGGGTAGTAAATAGCACGCTCAAAAGTGCTCTTTCGATAAGTCTCTTGCCAATTGCACAAGAGACCAGACTCATGTAGAGGAATTGCATTCTTCACTGCCTGGGCAGAATTCTAGTGCAGTCAACTGCAACTGACACTAAAAATTTGTGTCCTAACTTGCGAGTTACAGATCAAAGATACACAGTCTTATTTTTTCTAAAAATCATTATAGTTGTTAATACAAGAATAAAAATAACTAAATATATTATTAAAATAGCGTTTTTAATAATCTAAAAACTTATTAAAGTTATTTTTAATTTCACATATTAATGTTTTTAATGTTTTTGTATGTTATTAATGTTTATATTCGTTTTTGTTATAATAAAAAAAAAAAAAAAAAAAACCGAGAGAGGAGAATTCAATGCTATTAAACTCCTTAACCTAAATCAGTAAAAAAATCTTAATGAAACTATCAGTCATCTTAATCATATAAAATTATATCAGGAGGACAGGAGCCGGTACCGGCTGAACTGTTTATCCTCCCCTGTCTTTGAGATTAACTCACAGGGGGTTATCAGTTGATTTACTAATTTTTTCTTTGCATATTGCAGGTATTTCATCAATCCTAGGCTCAGTAAACTTTATTGTTACTATTGAATCAGGAATCTATATCTATATCTATTATTTCAGGAATTGAATCAGTAATGAACACCACAATATTTATGTTGTGACAATTGCTGTATGGTAATTATTGTAACTTAACAAGGCATGGTCAAATCAATGTAATTATCTGAACCTCCTACCTTTTAATTTAATTTAAGAGGAAGTCAGAGGAACACATGTAATGGGAAAAAATGAGGACAAAATGGAGAACTGTAGGAAAGAGTCTGAAGTGTTTCTTCTGAAGTTTTTCTGATGGTATGTAATTTTTTCTGATGACTTTACTATGTAATTTTTTTTCATTTTTCCCATTTCAGAAAAATATTTTGATATGAATAAAAAACAATGCAGAGAAGCTTTGGACCTGTACAAAAAGTTCTTGATTAGAATGGATAGAGTTGGTGAATTTTTGAAAGTTGCAGAATGTGTTGGAATCGACAAAGGAGAAATTCCTGATCTTACAAAGGTATGCTTCTTCAGCCATCGAATCATTCTTTGTGAAACAGTTCCATTTTTTCACGTCTCCTTTCAGTGACATACTATTTGACAGTATTTTCTTAAAACAAAAAGATTATTTGAGGAGGAGCTTAGCCTTTTATTTGGAGGGAGGGGGTGTGGTAATACAATTTTGCTCTGACAGCTTGAATGAAAAGGTATGCCATTAAAGGTAAAATAGAAAGAAAACCCTTTTTAGTAAAACGAGAAAGCCTCTTTCGTAACTTGAAAATAACCCTTGATTAAAGTTAGATTTTGATGAGTTTTGACCGCCTGCCCTTTTAAAATGGAGCGTAATGCCTGTAGTTTATCATTTTTTCATTTTCTTGCTATTTTCATACATTCATGATATGAATGCGGTTGTCTCTTGAAAATTTTCATGTCATCTTTTTCCCACATCCACGGCAGGCTTCAGGTGGTAGGAGAAGTTTGGGTTAATTTAAACCTTTCTACATAGTCGCTTTGAATCTGAGTCCTAACTGGAACTCTCTAGTTTCATGACATACACTAAAAAATGAAAGGGCAATCAGTTAGTGTGAGAAGAATGATAATGAAAAACTTGAAATTTTTACTAATGTGAAATGAACGATGGTAAAAAGCTTGTATATTTACCGGTGTGAGTAGAATGATTAAAAAGTTGGTATACTTAACCATTGTTGTTGTAGAAAACTAATTGTCAATTTTTAAAGACACTTTTAACTCTAATTTTTCAAGGCCCCAAGCAGTCTACTTGATGCTCTCGAACAACACGTTGCCTGTTTGGAAGGACGGAAAGGATCCACTGCAAATACTCCCACTCAGGCAGCTAGGTATGTCCATGTTTGATTTCCTCACGCTCAATTTTTATCTCAAATGGCTAACATTATGGTGTCATTTCAAGCAATATTATTTGACTCATAGGTTAATTTTGAAATTTCTGATAGCAAAGTTCTGGTGAGCATATTTTTCTGGAATTTTTTGAAATGTAAGAAAAAACATGTATATGTTTAATGCTTTATGTATCTGGGTTGTGGCCGACATATTTTTTCCAGCTGTTTCTCTTTATTTTGATGGATTTGGCAATTGTTATAGTTGATTCATTTGATGGAAGATGCAATATTCTTTCTTTTGAGGAAAAAGTTTTAGCCAGGAACTCTTGAATAGGGACCTATTCTGTCAAATTCCCAAAGAATAAAAATGATGGAAGAATCATAGCAATTAGGAAACCTCAAAATCCAGAACAGGAACCACTATTTTACTACCAGTTGACTTTTAATTCACTGACTAGCCTATTTGAACTTTATGAGAACTTTTAAGTTGAACTTTATGACAGCATTATGATTGTAGACTCTTTTAGAGGGAGACTGATAAATTCTACCAAGTTCTTCAATCTGGATAAAGGCCAAATAAGTATAATGGATTTTTTATTTTTCCTTGTAGTCAAAGGAGTGATGTGAAAAGTGGAGTGAATGCTTTGAATTGCACTAGTTCTGCATTCGGAACTGTTGTCCAAACTGCAGACCACGAGGAGAGTCTACGCCTACAAGCGCTTGCAGAAGAAGAAGCTGCAATGAATCAATACAAGGTACAGCAGCAGAAAATTATTTATCATTTGATTTTTCCTTTGAAGAAACCATCAAATCATTGAAGACTTACCAAGGATTAATTTATGCCCAAAGAGATGAAGTAAAATTTAGTATTTATGCTGTAAAACTGAAAGTGTTTTATAACTTGTATCGGTTTTTTTCTCTGTTTGAAAAAGGCTTGCTTGTAAATAATATCTGTTGGAGCGAGAGAGACTTCTGTCAAATCTCTTTGATTAATCCTTCTAGGATGCCAACAATTCAGACAATAGAATTCGAAGACAGCACCGCGTGACAACTCGTCACACATCAAGTCACTGTTTCAACCTGACATGACCAACTTAAAAACAGCCACTATGACTGACCTAGCAGTGAGCTTGTTAATGTCATACGCTTAAGGTAAGTATTTACAGGTTGGCCATAAGTCTGGAAAACTGGGAATTGTCAGGGAAATTTGATAAAAAGTCAGAGAATTTTAATCCGACTATGTTGTTAAGGTTGCTATTGCGGCTGTGACAATCCCCTTTGGGGCATTTCAAGTGAACTATAAATATTTGTGTCCCTTGAAAATTATCATTTTTCTGAGTCTGTGTGTTTTCATTCTCACTGATTCAATTATTTCATGTAGAAATAGGATGTGTAAGTTTGGTGTAGCTATTATGGGAAGGTAAGGGTTTTCAATTTCCAAACCTCGATTTTTCTGTTGTCTTATCTCTTGAGCAAGTGCACTTATAGTAATTTTTCTCGAGTCAAAAAGTCAGAGAATTTTTCATGGAAGTTCAGGCAAATGTCAGGGAAAGTCCGGGAATTTTATGATCCTAAACTTTTGGCCTCCCTGTATTTACTTATCGTGAATCTGAGTTTCTAAGATTCATCAAAAAATAGCCCCAAGAATTTCATAAATCTAAACGAGTCAGACATTGAAATCATCTAGTTTAATGTCCGGACTCATTATTCTTCATTTGGTCTTATTTTGCAGGCTAAAGTTCAGAGTCCGACAAGTAGTACAAATCCCTTCCTCATTTCGCCGCAACATCAACCTTCTCAGCAGCAACCAATTGTAGACCTGTTTTCTTCTCCAACTCAGCCAACAACTAATGGAACGCAAGTAAGTTTGCTGATACTCCTAGTCTAAAATGTTTCTCCAAAATTAGGTCCCATCTTATTTATCCTCAGCTGCTTCAGAGGATGAATATTCTCTCTTCAAGCACAGTTTATTTATTGTGATCGTGAGATTATTTCTTGCTGCTGATTCGAATAAAAGGCTAAATGAAATTGTAGGGACTGATTGTTTATCGTTAGATTAAAGAGCATGGAATTCAGCTAATTTCTATGCCAATTAATCTAGTATTTTCTGATGAAGTGGATTGAATAAATTCATCACACTCACTGTCAAAAAGTCTTTGCGAAATTGTTCCTGTTGGTCCAGAAAAATGTGCGGGTAAACGGCAGAATCTGAATGCTTCAAACCGCAGTCTTTGCTAATCAAATAGAATCTAGCACTTACTGCAGCTAGAAATGTAACTAATAGTCTACAATTTGTTCTTTGAAGGGCTGATAGACAACTCTCCTATCATGTGATACCATGATGAAATTGCACTAGTTACTCTAATCGCTTCAGCCTAGCAGGACCAACAAAAAAACAAGTCATTTTGACCGGCTTAGCAGTGAAAGTGTAAACTAGACGTCAGACTGTGCCTAATTTCTTTTCTTGTTTTAATCATTTATATTATTAGGAAACAAAATAACATTCTGACTTGAAATTTGTTGAGCTTACCCTTTATTACTGTGAGGAAATTCAGTGAAAGTTCCAGAAGAACATGTCAAATTTTCTGTTAAGAAATTAAATCATTAGAGAAAATTAGATTATGTGAGATGTAGAAGGGCTAATTCTAGTCATATCAGTCTAGTCAACAGGCAAATTCCTATCTTTCTCCTGAAGTTGGTTATTTTTTGCTAAGTGCAGCCAAGTTGGTTTTTTTTTTTGGGCTGTGTTCACTCTTTCATTTAATTTTGTTGCAGGCCAACAAAGCGTCGGATGATCTTCTGCAGCTTGGCAACCCTTTCCTTGACATGTTCTCAAGTGCTCCTGCACCACCTCAAAACAATACACCTTGGATGTCAAATGGTAAATATTCTTTAAATATCAACAGTCTTGTCTCTCAAATTTAACCCATTCAGTAAATCTTACAGCCTAGCTGATTGCGTTCCTTTCAATTAATCCCCAATTACTTTCAAAATTTAAGAAGAACCGAAAGTCGTATGAAGATGATGCTGAACAGGGGCAGTCCCCCAATATTTATGGCACTCATTTAAGTAGCACCTGCACAATTCAGTTTCTCAATACTAGATAGAGTTACTGAAATTAGAATGCTAGCCCCTGTGAAATTACGTCTCAGGGGCTCAAAAAGTTTTCAACTCTCCTATTTTGAAAATCAATTTTTCCCCAACTTTTCGAAGTTGTGATTTTTCTCTTTCCTTTTTATTTATAAATTGCAGTAATTTTGCAATAAACAAAACATTTTTATTTTGATGCGACTCCTTTTTGTGGCGGTTCTATTTTCAAAAACCAATGTTGCAGACCAATGTCCCATTTCCCTCATGACCAGCCACATATAACTGAGGTTGAGTGGTTGGGAAGTTTCTGTACCCCTGTAATGTCATCAGACAAAGTCTCAAAGCAAGAATATTAAAGCAAGAGATAACACAACTTGAATCAATTCTTTTAAATCCTGAGAGTTCAAAATGAAATCTCATCCATAACTTAAAAAATCAGCGACTTTTGACCTATCTTTAACTTCAGACTTACAGTCTAAGACCTGTCCAGTGACTGGAGGCTGTAATTTTAAGAACTTAATAGTTTTTGCAGTAAACATATCGTTATATTTTGATTGTGAATAATTACAAGGTTTCAGGAGAGGGACAGAATGAGTAGTCACTCTTTTTTTTATGATTTTAATGAGTTCCAGTTTTGATGAGGGAAGGTTTGCGAGGAAAACATAGAATTCCTCTTTTCATCCTCAAAAATGCAAGGGCTATTCCTTTCTTTGCTTGTTGAGAAGCAATAAGTTGCAGGTCAGTTTTTTCTCTTCTTCAGAGACAGATCTTTACAATTTTTTTCCTTTGAGCCTGTAATAGTCATGTTTTTGTCACTTTGTAGGTACTGGAACTGGTGCATTTGTGGATGACAAGTCATTTTCATCCGTATTCGGCCAGGCTGACTCAAACAGTCAAGCTCTTAATGCAGGTACCTATGATTTTCATTCTTCTCTTTTTGTTAGCAATTAGGTTATTAAAATCAAACAATTTTTTTAATTTTATTCAACATTCTTTCATCAGAATCTCCATTTTGAGTCTCCGTTTTGAGAAATGTATTTCTTGAGATTGATGGTATGATTATTAATTTAACCAGAAAAGTTTGACGTGACTTAATGTATTTTTACGTTAGCAAGTAAAAGCGCCGATTCACATATTGGCTCTTCTTATCAAGATGAGCACCCCTTTTTTCGTGATATCCTAGACCAGCAATTTACAAGTATTGCAATGTTTATAGGAGGAAATAAAACACGTGAAATGATTTTCACTTATCAGCAACATGATTTCTTATCCATACCCTAAAAATAGTTTTTGATAATACACAGAGTCTTTCAGCCGTGGTCATTGTATTTATTTTTTTTTCAATATCTCAAATAGATGCAGCCAGTGTGAACCAGTAATAATGCAACGACCAGCCTATCAATATTTAGCGGTCTGCTAAATCTCAACCGAAACAGACTAACTGGTTCATATTATTTGTATTTTTTTGAGATATTGATGAAAATATGGATAGTGTGACTGTAGGACCTAAGCCACTTTTTTTGAGAGCAATTCAGAAGTTCGTATTCCAAAATAATACATTGAGAACTCATAATTTTCATGTATTCTTTTACAAGCTGCCTCGGTCGGAGCCACTCCCAATCCCTTCCTGTCAGACCCTTCTAATCCTTCGAGTGCCCAAACCATGAACTTATTTGAGACCGGTGACAAGAGTGGGGATAATTTTTTTGGGGAGGGGAGTGAATCTCCGAACTTGGGAGGCACTCCAATAAGGAGGCCCTCTGGTGGTCCACCTCCCGGGCGACCTCCACCGCCAGGAGCCGTTTCTAAAGAACCCAAAAGTGCTGTTGACGATTTGAACGATAGTATCCAGCAAGCATTGGGGTCGCCAGCTCGACCTCCCCCCGCTAAACAAGTTGTAATGCAACAACCCCCTGCATCCACTCTTCCCTATACCCCTCCCATCCAAATTCCAGCACAAGGCTTCGGTTCTCCGCTTCATCGCCCTCCGGCTCCATCAGGTGATCATAATTTTTTGCACTACTTTGAGGATTGATTCATGAGGCTTATCTAAAATGTATGTAGGTTATCCAATTTTTTCTCTGACTGTTGAAGGTAAAGAAGCAGGGCAGTACCATAACCTTGGGGTTGATCATTACACTACTTAAAATTCTAACTATCAGAAGATGTCTTTTTATCTTAATTTAATGCAGAATGACATGAACAAACCAAGAAATTTCCGAAATCAACTGATATCATTATGTTTCACTGAAGTCAGTATGCTTTACCTTAGAATCGGTTAATTTATACTTTAAGAAAAAATTTGTGAACATTTGACCACCAAATATATAATTTTTGCTCTCAGTTTTGAATCTTGAGTGATGTGAACGGACCTTGCAGACGGAGGTCAACAGACCATATATGTCCAACAGACATTTTGGTAGCAAGAATACTAATTCAAAACATGACTTTCAAATGTGTACACAATTTTCTGGTGTGTAAAAGTTTTAGAATTTGACGATTATTAAGTTCTTTGGAGCTTTAACACCAACTAAATAAAATTCAGTAACAAATGTATTACACAACTACCTGCAGGAATTTAACTATAAATGTACATTTTTCTATAAATTTCATTTGGAATCATTTTTTTGTTACAGGAGCCCCCCTAAATAATACCTCTACTACCAATAAAGTTCTCACTGGTGACCTTGACAGCAGTCTAGCATCTTTAGCCGAAAATTTATCGATCAACAAAAGTACTCAGCCACCCAAGTAAGTGACTAGTTTAGGTTTTCTTTAGCATGATCATTATCTTTTAATCTTCTTACGCATCATTTAAAAATTACTCAGCTCTTGACCAGTTTAAGAATGAACCCACAGTTTGTCGGTGAAAAATTTTTTCAGTGAGGGCACTGTTTTTGTCGAGTGATGAGCTTTCAATTTGTAGTGTGCTTCCAGTTTTTTGTCTTTTTGCTCGTAAGAAAAAATTAGAATCCGGCGATTTTCCGCATCACCGAATACGGATACCAATTTTTTGTATTTGGCCGGAGCTAAATACCAGATAATTGGGTGAGGTATCCGGCTAAAACTGAATTTGGACAGTGCTTTTTTGTGTCACAAAAATACAGAGTAGTGCAACCATCTGGCTAGATACGGTTATGTGGAAATATTGAATATAGTATTGCAGAGTCGTGTTCTGCTGAGTAATACGGCACTCCAATTGATTTCTGGATATTAGGACCAATTCTAGGTAAAATGTGATTGGATCAATTTAAAATATGGAGGACTCAAATATTCAGCCAGTAATTTGTACCATTTTTTTCTAGCGTAGATTAAAGCAGAAGATTCTCATGCTCCCAAAATAAAACGCGAAGAAGTAGTAATCTCAGTTAGAAAAAAATTTAACATTAGGTTGCTCTGCACAAATTCTCTCATCTTTCAGAATAAGCAGCCCTATGAACTTTTCAATCCTAAATTGTCTTCATCATTTTAAAGCATGTAACAATCAGTGTGATTTTATTGTGTGTTGAGTATCATTTATCGTTCATTCCTTTCTTCAATATTATTTATTGTTTTTGACGCTACAATTGTTGTCATATTTGCAAGTTTAAGTTTTGTCTAAATCATATTACTTCAAGTGATGTAATGCCAGCAATAACCACCTATAGTCCAAAGAGCCATTCACCAAAAGTCTTGTTCTAAGAGTTTGAACTTAAAGGTTTGTCATGAAAATTAAACTAAATTATTAGTGCTGTAGCGATCCTGTAAATGTTTTCCCTTTCTTTTTTAATTCAATCCCTTTGGATGATCCTGATAGTATTTAGTTGATATTTTGGCTATCACAAAATATTTTTCGGAAAGTTGTTGCATAGATGGTTATTGCATCCAAGTTTCATTTTCTCATAAATATTTTAAGTTTGGCTGAAAGATTCATTGATTTAAGTAAGCACTTGATATCTCAAACTGTTGTACACCATTTGACTATAATATACAAGATAAAATTCTCCTCTGAAGTTGCAATTTTAAACAAAGAAGAGGGAATAACATTTACCATAAAATGCTAATTTTTTACCTGATGTTGGCAAGTAAAGTAAAATTTTAATCGGTAGCTTAGAGTTTTTTTCTATTTTCTTAAATCAGTTGGACTTTGTTCACACCACTTCATACTTTGCTGACTTAATCGACTTCTTATTAATTATTGACCAGGAAAGTCGCTCTCAACACTCAAGTGCCTTTAAATCATCCATTACAATAAGGATTAGAAACCAAAACTAATTTGATAATTAGTCATATCATTAGAAACTACACCAAATTAGTCATTTACCAAACATGCAAGAGAATTTGACTAAAATGAAGGCCAAATTCAATCTCATGCAGAGAGGAATCGAAGTCTACCCAAGTCCAGTTAGGTAAATAGATAATTTCAATGTGCTTAATTTTCTTGATGTCCTCTTAAGTTCTGAGCATCAGAAGAGGAAGGAAAATTTTGTAAAACAGAACTCGAATAATCTGCTGTATACATCATGAATGATTGGCCCTTGATTAAATTGGCATCGATTATGAAGTAAACCATAAACACTACCTCCCCATTCACATGTTCATTTTGAAAATTTCCAATGTGTTTAATGGCATCCGCATAAAAGTCTGATAGGGTAATATATTATACGGCACTTTAATTCTTACTTGCCTTGTAGTCCATTTTATCAAACAAAAAGTGTAGGACAGGAAGGAAACCAAGCTGCAAACGCAATGTCAATGTCTCTTTTTCATTATTTATGAAGTTAATGTGAAAGAGGGTGTAGATGTAGATGCACTTGTCAAGTAGACTCTTTTCTCTATGGAAAAATTCACTGGCGAATGAGTATTTTCCAACCATTGTGAGGTTTTTACTTTCACAGCATGCAATAACTTTGGTTGAACCCAACTTGTCTCTGTGATTTGAATGAGGCAATATTTTTGTCCTTATTAAGTCGTACATGATGTAATAATGCACCTTGGCTGGAATTTTGTCGGGGAAAATGTGCCTTCGGAGACAGGTGAATCTCTCAAAATTTAACTTATTACTCCTGATTGATCGGCAGTATGGCGCCGGCTCAAAAAGGCCATACATTTCCTGACAAAATTCAGGTTGAGCCATGTCAGTCCGTTTCATTCAAGCATATTTTATTTGAGTGCTGTTACCAGGCTAACAAAAAGTATTGTCCGCAGATCAAGAACTGAAGGGAGCAAGCTCTGTAAGGGCAAAAATCCCATAGAAATCTTTTATAGTCAAATTTGATGCAACTTAAACATGCTTCTCTCCTTTTCGTCTTGACCGAGCTCTGCTAGGCGCTTGAAAATCAGGCAAGCTTTTTTGAGGTTGTTGCCTTTTAATGTTACCTAACAGTAGGTCAGGCTCTGTTAGAGTGCAAGGGGCTGTAAATAGAAAGAAAGACAGGATGGAAGGAAAACAAATTAAATATTTAAAAATGTTTGTTATAAAAAATGGATGAGATATTCTATGCAGTTTGCAGAGATAATCGTGAGAACAAGAACTTTCATTATTTTGTCTTGACTAATGGACCAATCGATTTTCATACCAATCCCCGCCACACCATGACCCCTTTTTTCCTAATTTGCGGTGGTGAAGATTCCAAAAACAATATCCAAGTCTCCAAGCCCTCAGCAGAACTTTTTTCGAAGATTATTAGTCCATACTAAATAAGTTTATGCACTTTTAAAGTTTGGCAAAAGGTAAGCTGTTCTCAGTTCAGCATTGAAAGTAATCATTGAAACAAGACGACTTAACTTCTGTCTTACTTTTAAAGCGTGTAAACTTTTTTGGTGTGCGTTCCAGGAGAGAAGCATTTAAATTTCATTGCATTCGTTCTAAAGGTGATTATCGCAAGAGGTCAGCTCTGTCCTTTTTCCTATGGCAATGAAAGAAGATAGCCTTAGGAAAACGTAATGATCCACGATTAGACTTCATTACTAGTCTGAGGTTTCATTACCAGCACTTGGGTGAATTCAAATAAGGGTCAAATTCCAGGTTCTATTTCCTCCCAAAATTTTTTTCTGAATTTTTGGGCAAACCAAACTTTATTTTGACTATCATTAGGTGTAGACTTAGGAAATATAGCTCGTCGAGCTTAATAGTTGGGCTTAAACCCGAATTTCCACCGTCAAGTGTATCACTTCCCAAAATTTTGCCTGATTTCCTAAATTTTCATCTCAGAGGTGACATATAATACTTTTAGTTAAAAATTGAACACAATTGTCATAAAAGCATCGTCGAGCACTAAATTAAAACATAATTGAAAACATGTAATCCTTTCATATATTGCAGAACCAAAAAAATTAAGAAAAAATTAATCCGTCATGAAAGATATCTGGAGCTTTTTCTGCTTTTCTTTTAGACAGTTCCGTCTGTTTATCAAAATGCGCACTGTTTTCGTTTCACACGAGAAGAAGCTTTTATTTCTTGGAATATTGCA